CCCGTTTATAAATGGGGCGGGGGCGGGTATGATAATATCCATACCCGCGGGTACCCGTTTAATAATATTTCCTAAATATCCTAATTACCCTTATACCACATAACCCTAAAATTACACTCTCTCATCTTATTTTCTTACAAAAGTGAGGTTGATGAAGTTACCAATATGTGTTAAGCATGTTATAGAATTGTGTTGGATGTAACTTGATTAATTTTCTAACTTTGATTAGAACAATAAGATTTATGTGTTAATCACTTATACATTGTTAGTATAATTTTTTTTACATGAATAACTAATTATATTTTTTAATTGTATCATGTTATTATAAATATATTTGTTTTTATAGTAATATAACACAATTAAAAGACATAATTAGTTGTCAATATTAAATTTTTTTTTATAATATATAAGTGATTAACAATATATTTTACTCATATTAAAATATATTGTTTCATTATTACAAGGAAGGAATTTCTTACTAACCAAGGTTTAGAAGGTCTATGATTGTTTTGGGCATAGGGGTATTTGGAAGCTTCCTTTCCCAGTAAACTTGTGGAGGTATGGCAGCTTGAGCTGCCATCAGTATCAGCTGCATATTCAACATTCATCACTCTCGGGAACATGTTAAAATAAAGATGACCAAAAAAATGTAGCTCTACAGTTTCCAAAATAAAAATGAGATGAAATATAAAAGATAAAGCTCACGTTGAGAGAAAAAAGCAAAGGAAGCCAACGAAATTCCATAGTTGAAGCAAAGTTGTTAGAGATCTGTGAGAAGGTGATATGATATGGAGACACAGACAAACCCAAGATATATAGAGCTCCAGAGGAACAGTGACATGGCGTGTTGCACGAGCTGGATATTTTAATTGAAAAATTCTATAGTACCCGCTATAAGAATATATCCGATGTAAGCAACTCATTTAAATTGTTTCAGCATTAAAAAATGAAAAAAGTGGTCTCTAGTGTGTCATATCAGCATTAAGTAACTCAAACACAAATTTACTCTAACGGTAAGAAATTTTAAAAAATTCAACTTTTAGAATTTTTTTCTAATCATTTGTGAACCAAATTTAAATTTTTATTAAAAAGGACAATTGCACTACGATGAAAGAAAATAAATTACGAGAAAAAATACACAATAAGTAGATATTAAAAATAAAATAAAACAACAATAAATACATAAACATTATACAAAATTAATTTTCATCATTATTATTTTCGAAACATTCCTAAATATGTTCAATAAGATCTGCTTGAAATCTGGTAAGGAACGGTTGTTTGAAGAAACAACTCTCTCTCTTCTTCAAGCAACTCATGTTGCCATGTCAAAATCCTCCAATGGCAAGAAAGCGGGATTTGAGTTGCTTCATGGGACAAACAACTTCCATTGAAGTTACTCTAATAGTGGGGTACCGATACAATTGTTTAATTTTTTTTATTTTATTGTAATTACTTGTTTTATTTTTATTTTTATTTAATATTTTTAATAATTTATTTTTATAAATTTTTTATATCTATAATATAAGCAAATTTTAAGGTTTAATAGGCCATTTATGATGATAACATAATAATAATAATAATAATAATAATAATACATATTTATTTAATTTATTTAAATAGATTGACCTATTAGACCTAAAATATTTTTTTAAATGGCCTAAGATCTAACCTTTGTTTAATTAAATAACTTTAAATGAAAGCATGACCTATTTTCTTAAGGTCTAACCTAATTTTCATAGACTAAATGGTTAAGTCTATTTCCATTTACTGGTGTAAGCATAACAACTTAATTTCTTTCCCTTATCTAAAATAACCATAAAATGAGTTATGTTGTCAAATTTCTACATGCAATAACCATAAATTGAGTTATGTTATATCCATCTGTATATTAATTCTTCATTCGGACCATAATTTTTTATTATTAAGGTTTTTGCTATGACACCCTCTACCCTGCTAATCAACACATATAATTAATTGTAAAATAGCAAACTTTTTGAATAAAACTTTGTTCTAAGAATTATAAAAGGTTTTCAAAAGCACCTCCAATGGTAGAGAAATCACATTTGTTTCATAAACTTAAACAAGTTCTAGAAGAGTTAACTAACACGAAAACCAAAACAAAATAAAGTAAAATGGCTAACCAAAAGCCATACCAAAGCTCCAATAGATTAACAAGTTTTTTTTTATAAATAAATAGGCAATACATTAAAAAAATTACAAAACATAACATTTGAAGTATCAAAACTTTTCAATTATTATGGGTTCCATAGCAGTTCCAAGAAACAATGATTTTATCTAGGAATAAAAATTGATGTGTGTTTTTAAGAGAGAAGAAAAATAATACAGTATGTTGATAACATTGTCACAGGCTCACAGCCACTCAGTGCTAATGGTGGATTAGGAAGAAAATCTTATCCATATCGCTCAAAATCTATAATCTATAATACTAACACTGATTAATTTTGTCGTGAACCGGTTCCCTAAGACGTACACCGTCTATTCAGTATAATAGTTGTTATATTATTTGAAAACAATTCTTACCACATTTATATACGATAAGATATTGATAGGAAATGGAATTTACTAATGGGATTATGGTGAAAGTTAGAAAATTCAGCTCTAATTACAATATAAAAATACAAAGAAAAATAAATGTAGAAGAAAATATCATAGAAAAGATAACCAGAATTCTCATGGCTTGAAGGCAATTACTCATGGCCTAAAGGAGAATTCTCATGAGTCGAAACTGAATATTCATAGTTCAAAGGCAAAATGTCATGGCTAAAGGCAAATTACTCATGGCTTGAAGGCAAAATCTCATGTACGGTTGTAAAATATTTCATGCACATGATGGATGTCTCACATACAAGACTCTATGCACAATTTCCATCATATCATCATCACAAGTTCATGCCACATAGCTTTATCACAAGTTCAAGTCATTCACATACCATATCATCATCAATTTATTCTCATATCACACATTATCATCACCTTACATCTCATCATTCACCAATGTCTTAAATGTTGCACACAACATTCTCAAGTCAAATATCAACATTCCATATCACATCATGCATAATTATCTCATATCACATATAAAGTTCTCATGTCATGCATAAACATTTCATATCATGCATATCATGTAGAACTCATCCCGTACAAGCATAAAGACTCAAACACAAGGTCTTACAAATATAATTTCAAACCTTTGTCATAACTCACTCATAAATAATTCATAAATATTCCTTCTCATACTTTCTCTTTATTAACTATTGATATAAGTATCTCAAATCGTTCCAATATTAAGAACTTAAAGGATAGAACAACTCACTACTACAATTCACAAATTATCTCTTCTTATTTTAAACTTATACGACATTGTAGGGTTAAAATGAGATATTTGAAATTATAATTATGATATCAATTTGATCTTAATTTTATTGGATAGAGAAGACTATTATCTACAACTTCTATGTTGACCTCAAGAGTTGATTTTTTCATTTACTATTTTTACAAATTACAAAATCCTAACATTTAAGCCTAAATCTAAAACTTGATTTTCACTCACTAATTTGATCAATACTTGAGTTCTAGACTTTTTTTTTGGGTGATTCTAACACCATTAGAAAGCTAACATCTAAGACTAGAATTATTATGAAGATATCAAAAGTTAATTCGGTCATTTAAGTCTCATCGCAAGGCTTACAAGGTATGAAGGTTGCATTTCATGTACAAAACGTAAGACTCATCTTCTAACTCACACAACTTGGTCATTTCTTAACATATTTATGTGATTCTTGAGTCTTAAATATAATACCAAATGTCTACTTTCCAATTCAATAAATGAAACTCTATTTAGTTAATCACATAGAAAGAAATCACGTAAATATTGAGATAGGTTCATATAAAAATTTTCAGAACAAAATACAACTCACACTCAAACTCACTTCTCCCAATCCAATCAATTAAAAACATAATTCACGCCTAAACTATACTTCTATATCATCAATTAATCAAACACATATATCAATTTCACAAAAATCTTTCAATTTCATCATTCTTCATCTTAGGGTTTCTTACAAAATTTCATAGATTCACAATTAACCCAAATAATTTGTAATTCATAACATATATAATTCAAAGATTAACCGTAGAACACATACATATCATACAACATGCATTACTCAACTTCAAGCACAAGTTTTGGGTTTCCCCCACAAAATACAAAAGACAAACAATAAGATTGGGACCAATCCCAGTATCCAACTGATACCCCACACTCTAGAGAGAAAATTCTCACTCTCTCTTACCTGAATAAATGCTTGACAATGAATGAGAGTCACTGGGATGTACTCCTGCAGCCTTTGCATTTTCCTCTTGAAACTCTTGGGTTTTAGAGAAAAAAGCATAAAGAAAAAAGGAAGCTTAAAAATGACGATGGATTTCTTAAACTCCTTTTTTTTTTAAAAACAAAAGCCCTTTTTTTTAATTTAAAATAAAATAATTATAAATAAAATAAAAATACAAAAAAACAGTTATAATAAAAATACACATTTCCTCTAATTAAATTATATAACAAATTAATTTCACAAAACTTTAATAATTAAAATAAAACACTCATAATTATCATTTAAAAATCAGCATCACCACCCACCACCATGCATAACCCTAAACCCTAAACCATAAACTTAATCTTTCCTTCATTCCCCACGCATGCCCTCTCATTTCACCCCACACGTTCTTTGCTCTTTTATCTTTTATGTACATCATACAAGGATTCTAACATTGCTACTTTACAATTATTTAGTCTGTTTTTATTTAATTAACTAGGAAGGCTTTTTCGTCTTGCTCTATCTAAATTAGCATCGTTGGACATCCACTAAGGGCAAGGCTAAAAAATTTATGTGCATTACTTATTATGGTTTGATCTTTTTCCTAGTTATGAAAAAGATGTTACATTTGCACATCCCTTAAAAAAATATTTAATACCAGTATGTTAAGTCTAAAATACTCCATTTAATATATTAGAACTTGTAGAATAAGACTAATTATGATCATGGAATAGAAATATTATTTGTCAAATAAGAATATACATTAAAAAAGTAATTAATATCACTTAGAATGTGTAAAACATAAAAAAATTAAAAAGAGAAAGTCTAAAAATTAATAAAAAAAAGTTATGATCTAGAAGGAGTAGAATATATTAACACTATTGTTATTATTAGCTATCAGCATTATTGTTTTCACTATTGTTGTCGTTGCAACAATTATTATATATCTATTATTACCATCACTATTATCACCATTACATGCACAACTACCATCATTATTATCACCATACATTTTAACCCATGTGACTATCATCATATAAGTCTATAATCATTATTGTTATAATTAGTGCTTCAATCATTATCGTCACTATTGTCACCATATCGGCCTCCACCACCACCATTTCAAATACAAAATAAAATAATACAATAAATTTATTTTATATTCACCATGCAGAAAAGGTTAAAATTTCATGTTTTTTATCCTACTCTTATATTTAACACATCACCAAATGGGTTATTTAAGGATATAGATTAGATGTAGCTTTCAAATTTTAAAGGTGAACTAATGTAAAATCTTTAGTATTATCTTCTTGTCCCTAATCTTTATTAACTGTGAATTAATCCAAAAAGAGATACTCTGTAAGGCGCATTATTTGAAAAAAACAATGTTTTCACTAAAATAGTTCTTTGCATAATCGGATCCGTAAAAGATGATATATCTTATCTTCCTAACTCTGAAAACCCTCCTCATTCTTTTATTGCCTTTCAATAATTTTCCATGTTTGAAAATGT